AAGGGTAACAAGAAGGGTTTCTTCAGGTATGTTAGCAACAAGAAGAAAGTCAAGGAAAGTGTGGGCCCCTTACTGAATGAGGGAGGCAACCTAGTGACAGAGGATGTGGAAAAAGCTAATGTACTCAATGCTTTTTTTGCCTCTGTCTTCACGAACAAGGTCAGCTCCCAGCCTACTGCACTGGGCAGCACAGCATGGGGAGAAGGTGACCAGCCCTCTGTGGAGAAAGAAGTGGTTCGGGACTATTAGAAAAGCTGGACGAGCACAAGTCCAAGGGGCCGGATGCCTTGCATCTGAGAGTGCTAAAGGAGTTGGCAGATGTGATTGCAGAGCCATTGGCTGTTATCTTTGAAAACTCATGGCGATCGGGAGAGATCCCAGATGACTGGAAAAAGGCTAATGTAGTGCCCATCTTTTAAAAAGGGAAGAAGGAAGATCCTGGGAACTACAGGCCAGTCAGCCTCACCTCAGTCCCTGGAAAAATCATGAAGCAGGTCCTCAAGGAATCAATTCTGAAGCACTTAGAGGAGAGGAAAGTGATCAGGAACAGTCAGCATGGATTCACCAAGGGCAAGTCATGCCTGACTAATCTAATTGCCTTCTATGACGAGATAACTGGCTCTGTGGATGAAGGGAAAGCAGTGGACATGTTGTTCCTTGACTTTAGCAAAGCTTTTGACACGGTCTCCCACAGTATTCTTGTCAGCAAATTAAAGAAGTATGGGCTGGATGAATGGACTATAAGGTGGATAGAAAGCTGGCTAGATTGTCGGGCTCAACGGGTAGTGATCAATGGCTCCATGTCTAGTTGGCAGCCGGTATCAAGTGGAGTGCCCCAGGGGTCGGTCCTGGGGCCGGTTTTGTTCAATATCTTCATAAATGATCTGGAAGATGGTGTGGATTGCACCCTCAGCAAGTTTGCAGATGACACTAAACTGGGAGGAGTGGTAGATACGCTGGAGGGTAGGGATAGGATACAGAGGGACCTAGACAAATTGGAGGATTGGGCCAAAAGAAATCTGATGAGGTTCAACAAGGACAAGTGCAGAGTCCTACACTTAGGACAGAAGAATCCAATGCACTGCTACAGACTAGGGACCGAATGGCTTGGCAGCAGTTCTGCAGAAAAGGACCTAGGGGTTACAGTGGATGAGAAGTTGGATATGAGTCAACAGTGTGCCCTTGTTGCCAAGAAGGCCAATGGCATTTTGGGATTTATAAGTAGGGGCATCGCCAGCAGATCGAGGGACGTGATTGTTCCCCTCTATTCGACATTGGTGAGGCCTCATCTGGAGTACTGTGTCCAGTTTTGGGCCCCACACTACAAGAAGGATGTGGAAAAATTGGAAAGAGTCCAGCGAAGGGCAACAAAAATGATTAGGGGACTGGAACACATGACTTATGAGGAGAGGCTGAGGGAACTGGGGATGTTTAGTCTTCAGAAGAGAAGAATGAGGGGGGATTTGATAGCTGCTTTCAACCACCTGAAAGGGGGTTCCAAAGAGGATGGGTCTAGACTGTTCTCAGTGGTAGCAGATGACAAAACAAGGAGTAATGGTTCAAGTTGCAGTGGGGGAGATTTAGGTTGGATATTAAGAAAAACTTTTTCACTATGAGGGTGGTGAAACACTGGAATGCGTTACCTAGGGAGGTGGTGGAATCTCCTTCTCTAGAAGTTTTTAAGGTCAGGCTTGACAAAGCCCTGGCTGGGATGATTTAGTCAGGGATCGGTCCTGCTTTGAGCAGGGGGTTGGACTAGATGACCTCCTGAGGTCCCTTCCAACCCTGATATTCTGTGATTCTATGATTCTATGAATTAGCTTGTGTCAGTGCAGTTCCTTGTGGACATCTGAAACCTGCTACCAGAGCTAACAATCTCTGTAGTGAGTCCAGCAAGTTACGTAGCACAGAGATGAAGCCGCCATCTTACTTTTTGAGATGGTCTCCAGAACAAAGTTGAGGCATATTGTGGGGGATAGGAACAACCTGGCAAAGCTAGCTGTTATGCTACCTGCACTGTACCAGTTTCTGGGAATAAACAGGGAGTCAGTCCTGCATCTTTCACAATCACTAATTTTCTTCTTAAAAGAAATCAAACAATGTCCATAAATGTAACATTCCCCAGCTCTTCCCAACCCCTGCTATTCATGGATTCCAATCAGTTCTGCTATGCAGGCTATAGATGACTTTCTGAAAACAAATACCTAACCATTTGTCAATAACAAGCCAAAGGAGGGATCCATTCACCTCCCAGACAGAGCAGTAACTGAAAGTAACAAAATCAAAGTATAACAGCATTTAGGCAGCTCCTAATGGAGGTTGTTCTACATGTAAAGCTGAGCGCATCATTCTCTGAAAACACTGTAGAGAAGGCTACTGAAATCCAGACCTCCTGCACAACCAGTCAACATTGCCTTTTGTACAATGGGGTAGCTGCTGTGATGTAGAGAAATTGCTAACATTTTAGACATAGATTTTCAATGAATTGGTTTTTCTCTCTTTTTTTCTAGGTTTGCTTTTTACTAGCTGATTCTCTGTAAGTGTTAAGCTGCTCATATTTTGGTGCATTGTGCTATGTGCTGAGAATTTTTATCAGCCGCCCTTGTGCTAGAATGTGGTAGAAATACAAATGTATCTGAAAAGCTGAGGTGATGTGCACAGAAGTACAAAGCATCAAAACGAACTGTTTTCAGGTGGACAGGAAGCAAACCAAAGCTGAGTCTGCACCTCTGTGGGTTTCAGTATTTCAAACTGGCAAGGACTGAATGCATTATTGTATTATTATTAACATTAACTCTTGACCACACTGGGTAGTTAGTTTATTTGTGTACAAATTACAATAAGAATATGCTACATAACAGTGGTTCTCAAACTTTTTTTTTTTTTCATGGACCACTTGAAAATTGCTGATGGTCTCGGCAGACCACTAAATGATCTTTCCAAATGTTGTTTGTACCGTTAGCTAACTATTGTAAAGCGCTTTGGATAAAAGTGCTATATAAAAAACCCTTAATAATAATTAATGTTTTTTTGTTCTACAAATAAAAGCACACAACTCATATTTTAATATCAGTAGTCTTACCTTTCTAATGCGATGGATGTGCCCTGGCAGCCCCCGAGCTGGGGCTGGAAGGGAGTGGGCGTTTCTCCCCTGCAGCGGCAGCCCCCGAGCTGGGGCTGGGAAGGAGTGGGGGTCTCTCCCTGGCAGCCGCAGCCCTGGAGCTAGGGAAAGTCACCTCTTTCTCTGGCCGCTGCAGCCCTGCACATCCCATATTCCCCCCACCCCTTCTTCCCACCCCATTGCCCCCTCCCACCTGCATCTCACCTTACATGTGCATCTTCTCTGGGGTCCGGGCACCTAATTAGTGGAGCCATGCCTGCGCAGCTCCACTAATTAGGTGGGTGGCCCTTCATTCTTTTGTGTGTGGTCGCCCAGGCGTGCACCTTAGAAGGAACTATCCATGGACCTCCTGAATGGAGCTCGTGGACCACTGGTGGTCTGCAGACCACAGTTTGAGAACCTCTGCTACGTAATTTTGAATGAAATGTGTGTGCTTTGCAAAGGTTTACTGAGTTGTCTTCAGCTACAAGTTCTGATCAAATGAAGAAAACACTAGAGTCAAAAGCAAATACTGGAAAAACCTGGGATATTATCTGTATTAAATGGTCTAGTTCTTAGGACAAGGCAGTGAGAGTCAAGACTTCTGGATTCTATTCCCAGCTCTGCCACAGATTCACATTAGCGCTTCAGACAAGTCACTGAACTTCTGTGTGTCTCATTTGACCATTTATAGAAGGGGGATAATATTTTCCAAGTTCACAAAAGAACTGTGTGATGTACAAGGGGAAAATATGTTCCCTTGCTTGAATGTGGGAGTCCTGAAAAAGGTGCAGAACCACAGAATTTCTTCTTCACAGGGAGGACTGGCCACAAAGTGGCTGTGTAGGGGAACTCCACACCCTGTGTGTGCCATGGATGTGGCCAGTGGGTTCACAAACTATGCAGATCCACTGACCAAAACCCCAGCATAGTGAGCTCTGGCCACTATTGGAGGAATAGATTCCCCCTGTGACAATCCTACCTGATATGATTTTGAGCAGAGATTGAAAATGTGATCCTTAGTTTTTGTAAAAAGCTTTGAGATAAAAGGTGCTGTAGAAGTGCAAAATATTATCCCGCATATCAACAATGGAAATGCTGCTAGTTGCAGCCTTAGATTCTGGAGCAGACAGCAGGGAGAGAATCTTTATTATTCCCATACGAATGGAGATCAAGTGCTGGGAGTGACAAATTTAATCTTCAGTGGAAGGAGATGGTGCTGGTTATTTACAAAGCCTCTGCAATTGTGTGGGAGGCCAACAGGGAATTAAGCAAAATGTAAAAATCAACAAAAATACAAACAAATGGCAATCCCAGATGTAGAATTTATGCTCAGATTTTTCATGTTGAACAAAGTTAAAGCAGAGTGCCTTTTAGCATTGGTTACTGAAAACAGAAATGCTGACTCTAAGCAGCTTGACACATGAGACAAACCCGTTTTAATTTATTTCCTATCGTAAGTTGTTTCCCTTTAGGTTTTAGTTCTGGTAGCAGCAAAAAGCAAATGACACACAACCTGTTGGAAATTGAACTTCAGCCCGTTAAAATAATAAGAATAATAAAAAATGCAATAAAATGCCCCTTTAAAATGTCACTTTAAAAATGTCTGCTGTTTGTTTGAAAGTAACTAACATTTACGTAGGCATAATAGAAAGGGTCTGATCCTGCAAACTTCCTGAGAATCCCCTGGATGCCAGTATCCATGTCCTAGCATGTCCTACTCTGGTGATGAATACTTAGATTGTCTGCGTGTGTGTGAGTATATAAGTATTTACACCATGATATCTGATGGGACTTTGGAGTTAGTTTCTATGTACCACGTGTGAGTAAGGATTGCAGGATCAGCTTCCAGAAAGAAAGAATCCTCAATTTCATAAGCCATTGTATTTTCTTCACACAGATCAAACTGATGGATTTCATTGTAGGGAAGAGTGTCGGATCCTTGGTCACTCAGATAGATGCTGGATGCCCCGGAACTCTGTCACCAGTCGTGCAAAATCCCCCGAGCATGGAAGGAATGTCATGGCACTCTCTATAGAAGCTACCACTGTGGATACAGAGTCTTATGAAGACTGTAGTACAAAAAGAACTTTTGCAACATTTGGCAAAGATGGGAGTGAACCCCTGGCCGACGAGCGTATCGTCAACCTGAAAGGCAAAAGAACAGTGGATCTGCCCATCTGCAGCCCAAAGGTAAATGGTGCAGTCCGTGAAGCGGGGAACGGCTGCGAAGCTGTGAGCCCTATCACGTCACCCCTTCATCTGAAGAGTCCCCTGTCTAGCAAACCTTCAGTCTCATACAACATAATGCACTGCCCGGTAAATCGCGACCTGGAGCAATTTGTAAACAATGGCCCTTCTCGGCCCACCGAAGCAGAGCCTAGAGGGGCGGACAGTGAAAATATAATGCATGAAATTAACCCACTTCTGCAAGAATGTAGAGAAAAAGACTCACCAGGAGTGAAGAGACTAAAAGACATAGTGCTCTAAATGGCACCATATAAAAAAGGGGAACCAACACTACTACAAGCGCATATTGTTTTTAATTGCTTACCAGTGGTTCACAAATTGCTGTATTTAAGAGCTTTCCCTAAATGTATTGTTTATAAATGAAGCTATCGTTAATGTGACAATCCCACTTGTTTCAGCAACCAGCAGGGGTGTTCAGTTGAAGCAAATTAGCTTGTTTTTCTTTTGTCACGGGGTGGGGGTGAAGGTGAGACCAGTTCAGTTATAAAGAAGTATTATGTATGGAGTATTTTCAATTTATATATTTTTATATATCAAAACTCTCTATAATAAATTGCCATTCTTTGTAATGAATTGAATTGAAAACTCCTTATCCGGCCATCTTTAATAATCACCCTGATGTTTTTGTAGTCAATACAATTTAATGGCCATTTCTTGTGTACCACTGTTAAAAGAACAATTCAATGAGTTTTAATATTTGCCTAACACAAGGCTGTTTGTACTTTAAAATGTTGCTATTTTGCTGTGGACACCCCTGCATTAAGAATCCTTTTGCTATCACATGCCTATCTGTACTGTTACCGTATTTGATATTGCAAATTACTGTCTGTCTAGTGATGGCAAAAGGCTTTCAAGTTTAAAAAAACACAGATATATTTAAAACTTGGGGAAACTGCTACTTTTAAAGCCAATATTAGGAGTGTTTTCCCCCCATCTTACCCTCCAGCACCCCATACATCCTATACTTGTTTTCACAGTGCTATGATAGATCATTGTGGAAAGTCATTTGGGGGATATTCTGCTGCCTAATTTGCAGTTGTCAGATGCAGCGGGCTGAACGTTTTGAGATCTTTTTTTTTTTTTTTGTGTAATGTCAAGACACTGCATGGAAAAGCTTCTCCGTAAGTTATTAGTTCCCAGGTTTAGATCTTCCCTGTTTCTAATCATCTCAAAGCGAGGGAATTGTATAACAGATCTAAATTAGCATCTTGGTTAGACACACACTTCCTGATTCAACATTCCCCCAGTCATGATTACACTAAGTACCTGCGTGAGTGTGTGTATCTCATCATGGGAGGGATTTTAGAGTGGTATTATTTCTGTTTATCCTGCATCATAAATAGGTATAGAGTAAGCAATAGAAGGATATACATGTAGGGACAGACAGGTGAAATGTAACACCACTACTAATCAAATTAATGTGCCTTCCATATGGAGAAGAAAAAAGAGACATTATTTTTTCTCATAATTTTATGTGGTTACAAATTTGCACATATAAAATTGTTTTTTAAAAGAAAAAAGACCATTTTAGCTACTTGAACAGACATTTTGTAGAAAGGAGGGGAGCTGTAAAGATTTTCACAGCATTGTATATTCTCTGCTCTGCTGCACTACATAATAGTTCAGATTAGTTTTGAGTGGGGTGGGGTGGAGGATGATGGTTTGTGAATTAGTAACCCTTTATTTGACAGACTTTTCTACCAAAAAGAATATTCATTAGAGCGTAACAGTTCATTATGAGGGAGGGAAAAATACAGATATTGCTAACATTTGCTCTGCCAATGAACTGAAAACAATGGTTTCTAGAGAAACAGACTTCCCAGTACTAATGTATCTTGATAACATTCTCATTACTTTGATTTATTTAAATTAAAAATGTCATCAGGAAAAGAGCCTCCAATTGTTATTGTCCTAGAAATCGAATAAGCTCCAGTCATTTCTTTTCTTTAGAGAAGGTGGATAAAATGGATATGGTTGAGTTTTTAACTACTCCAATTGGTACATTACCAGTATGTCTTGTGGATCCAGGAGTTTGAAAATAATTTATCAAAAGGAACTTCTGATGAAATCACTAAAGTTTTCTTTATTGGTGTTGATTGCTACCTCATGCAGATGGAAAGGAGTACTTGTGGCACCTTAGAGACTAACCAATTTATTTGAGCATGAGCTTTCGTGAGCTACAGCTCACTTCATCGGATGCATGCCGTGGAAACTGCAGCAGACTTTATTTATACACAGAGAATATGAAAAAATACCTCCTCCCACCCCACTGTCCTGCTGGTAATAGCTTATCTAAAGTGATCATCAGGTGGGCCTTATCACTTTAGATAAACTTATCACTTTAGATAAGCTATTACCAGCAGGACAGTGGGGTGGGAGGAGGTATTTTTTCATATTCTCTGTGTATAAATAAAGTCTGCTGCAGTTTCCACGGCATGCATCCGATGAAGTGAGCTGTAGCTCACGAAAGCTCATGCTCAAATAAATTGGTTAGTCTCTAAGGTGCCACAAGTACTCCTTTTCTTTTTGCGAATACAGACTAACACGGCTGTTACTCTGAAACCTCTCATGCAGATGGAATCCCCTTAGTAGATGTGACTGCATCTGTCCCTCTAAAACTGAGCCATATTTCTTTTTTTCCTTTAATTTTGAAGTTTGATTCATTTTTAAATGGTATGTTCTTTTTATTCTAGTTTTTCATATCTGGGGTGCTGTTCTGCTGTCATTAAAATATATATTTTTTGCAAGTGGATGTATTATATGAGCAATAGAAGAAACAGGTTGGTTTTGGGGGAGTTTAAGTTACTGGACTGCCTGTAATATTAAGATGAGTGTTTGTTCATTATGATGTTACCGTATTTGTTAACTTCTGAGAGCTTTATTCAGTGAAAATTCATGTCCCTACTTACTGAGCCACAGAAGCTTGTTGGATATCTTTTTGTTAACTGCAGAAATTAATCCTCATCGATTGGCAGAAAATTGTTTATAGAAGGATTTTGTGTGTGTGTGTGTGAGCAGTAACTCAGAATTAGTCTATAGTACTGTTCCCCCACCCTCCAACACATATATTCTTCAGGCTCATATGGATAACCGATGGCAATCATGAAACTTTTGATATCAGGGGCCTCTACTTAGGATGCTCAAAGACTCTGGTTGCCTTAGGCTAGCTGACAAAATGAGTTGAAGTTTATATGAACCTTTTGCTGTCTCTTGGAGATCCCGCAAAAAAGGCTTGGGTTTCTTCAAACTCCTGAGTTTTACTGCTTGGATTTTGTTACAAAATCCAGGAAGCTCATTAGTTTTGTACCAAGTTCAGTGAAACTCTCCTTCCAAGAGTTACCTTGAGATTTTGAATTTTCACACCCCCAAATGTAAACAAACCCAGGTGGGGATGTGTGTGTTGCAAATGGTGTGAACTGAACTTATCCGATTGCTTGATGCAACCTCTCCTGACTTGAAACGGGTGGGTGTCATGCTGCATTAATGGCAGGTCATTTCCCTGAAATGAGCCATTCAAGTAACTTCACAAAAGGGAGCTGATGAGGAATAGCCAAAAGGCTTCCCTGAAGAGAGCCGAAGGCATGACCCCTCACTGTGATAGGAGAGAGCCCCATTCCCCACCCCACAACTCCATGTCTGCAACAAGTAGGAAACTATTTAGCCAAGAAGGTCATGTTCAGATCAAGGTCATAGATCCACCTTCTCTCCCCAAACATACACACATAAGTATGACCCTACTTTAATGTAATCTGACTCTGTGGCTGAGCTCTGGCTAAATTCCAGCACTGACTAACATCATGATTCCTGCCTTGGGTTATCTTGATCCAGCTCCACTGAAGTCTCCCATTGGTTTTCCTGGGAGGTTGGATTGGGACTTAACTCCCCAAGCCAAATAATTTGCCCAGAAGTGCTTGCACGTTATCTTCTATGGAACTGAGAGCAACAATCCATCAGGCAACATGGGAGAGGAGAGGATAGCCGATCAGTGTGGATTCTCCTCTATCCACTACACTGTGCTGTGAAAATTGGACTGTCCTATTCCTTTCCCACAGCCCTCCTTCTCCCCATCCAAGGAGTGACTAGGCGAGGGTCCCCTCTCACCTGACCTGGTGAATATAAAATGGACAGAAGAGTCCAGCTGTTGATTTCTACTGAACATGGGCCTCTGACTATTGAGCTGCCAGCACCAGCCTGGCACTGGGAGGAAAATAGATGCTAACTGAAAAGAAAAATAAAATATTTCTCTGATTTACCCATTAGAAACATTCCTTGCCACTAGAAATAAAAGCACAGCCCAGAAAATATGTGAAATATTTCTTTATTAAAAGGGAGTTTTAAGAGGTCAGTAAGCCCTACTGCCTCTAAGCAAACCATTTAAACAACAGTCTTTCCCATCCTGGCCTGTGCTGAAGCTTGGGATCTTGAGTGCCTAAGGCACCTCCATGACATATTGCTATCTCATGAAAAGAAGAACCAGGAGAGGGACTGGAAAAGGTTCATCGCCCACAGAGTTCTCTTCCAAATATTTCCTATTCCCACTTGCTTTCCCTCTCTCATTTGAAATCAGTTCAGAGCTTCTGGCTGAGCTGTAATATAATTTTTAAAGTAGCTAAATTAACCACATCAAAATGTGAATGACCCAGGATGGTTTTTTTGGACAAGATGTAATGAAGCTCTCTTTAGAATTTATATTGTTACCAAATTCGGCACAGGAGAATCGTTTGAATGTGATGTTCCCCCCCCAAATATTTCGTTCAGGCAAACTTGCTCTGCCTACCTATTTACACAGGGAAGTAAGAATGGTGTAGTAGTTTATACCACATTTAACAAGAGCCTGATTTCCAGAGGTGCCAATCATCCACAACCCAAAATGAAACCAATACTGCATTGTGCATGCAGCACCTCTGGATTTCAGACCCCAAAGATACAGTCTATGAGTAAATTCATGACATGCTGTACTCAAAGTGTAATATTTACCTACTTGATAGAATCTCTTTAGAAAATCCTTTCACAAGTGGAATTTTCTTTTCCTTACATTGAAATCTTGCAGCACTGGTTTTATTTTTATGCTGATATATACAAGGGGGAATATGGGAGGGAAGGGTTACGGGAGGGTGGATTGATGGTTTAAAAAATAATCCATAAGCACTTAATGCATTGTCCTGATGAAGTTGTTGCGGTTATCCCTGTTTTATTGTGAAGCTGGAGATGGCCTGTGGATCACATATTGTGCAGAAGTGAATTACTTTTTTTCAAATAGGAAACAAGTTGCTTTTGTGAAGAACACACTGTCTGATTAATATGTTGAAATTACTCTGGGGGAAAAAAAAACTAATGACGAATAGAAACACATTTGTCTGTCATTGGGGGAAATGGATGATCTTGTTGCTACAGCTGCTTTTGCCGCTACAGATAATCTTTTATCCAACTTACGAGGTGCATTTAACCTTACCAGAAGAACCCAGCTAACTCTGTTGCAAGCCTTGGTGAAATGGATTCTTTACTGGCATCAGCTGATGTTCAGCTGATATGAGCTGGGATATAATCTTTAGTGACAAGAGCTGACCGAGTGCAAGCTAGTTTTCAGCAACAAATACCTCCTTGCACTATTCAAATGCTAAGGTATTGGTTGCAGAAGATCTTAAGTCTTAGAGCTACAAGCTTCTGTAGCCTGCTGACCAGCCTGATGACACCATAATTGCCCGCGAAAGCAAGGCGGATTTCAGTGGGACTTAAGTACAGTACGATTCATCAAGGTGTCTCTGTTGCTGATTATATGAAGAATAAATTGTTGTATATGCTGATATGTATGTTATGTACATTTTCACAGTGATGGAATCATTGTAAACAAAAATATGGAAAAAAAATCACCATTCTGTCTATTTTATGAAGATGATAAAGCAGCTTTATTAAATTATTACAGTTCTGTTTCAAAATGGTGTACCTGCCACATTGTTTCTCTCATCTGATGAGACCTTTGTTTTCCACTTCAATGTGACTTCTCCCCTCCCCCCCCATTTTAGTATTAAAGGCAATTATTGAATAAAATGGAAAATAAGTGTTTGGTTAAATATGACTAAGAGGGTTTGCTTGTGATTACCTCAGCTTGTTGGCCTGGCAGAAACCAGTGCAGACAGAGCTATTCACATGGTCTTTTCTTAACCCTGTAGAATTTCAGCT